GGCCATCCACAATTTTATGCACAGATTATTATCTCTGCAGGTCCATCTAATAAGATAGGCTGGATAAACAATGTGAGAAGAAAACAATGGGACCAACGGTCCTGGAGGGACATGAGAATGTGGGAGGTAGGGGAAGGGAGGAGGTGTTGGCCAACCCAGGGACAAGGGAACAATGAGTGGTTCAAAACTAGGGGCAGAGGGGAGGAGATGAGCCAGTCAGGGTGCAATGTAACAATGATGAGAAATACAACCTTCCTCTAGTTCCTAAAGGTTTCCTCCCCGCTCCCACTACCATGACTCGAATTCTATCTTGCAAGACTGGCTAGACCAGAGGAGGTACACTGGTACAGATAGGAACTGAAAATACAGGGAATCCAGGACAGATGAGCCCTATAGGACCAGTGGTGTGAGTGGCAAAACAGGGAGGGTAAAGGGAGAATGGGTAGGAAAGAGGGAACCGATTACATGGAACTGTGTGTGACCTCCTCCCTGGGGGACAGACAACCGAAAAGTGGATGAAGGGAGACGTCGGACAGGGCAAGATATGACAAAATACCCATTTATAAACTATCAAGGGCTCATGCGGGAGGCGGGAGCGGGGAGGGAGGGGAAAAATGAGGACCTAATGTCGGGGGTTTAAATGGAGAGAAAATGTTTTGAGAAACGATGTACAAATGCGCTTTACACAATTGATGTGTGTATGGATTGGGATAACAGTTGTATGAGCCCCTAATAAAATGTTAAAAAAGAAAGAGAAAAAAAAAAAACCTAGGGGCAGAAAGGGGTTGGGAGGACTGGTAGGGAGTGACCAAGGGCAAGGTAACTGAGAGGAATTACTGAAACCAGAATGAAGGCTGAACATGGTAGTGGGACAGGAGGAAAGCATAAGGAAATAGAGGAAAGGAGTAGGAGGCAAAAGGCATACATAGAGGCCTAAATACAGACATGTACATATGTAAATATAGTTATGATTATGGGGGAAATAGATCTATGTGCACATATTTATAGGTTTAGTAGTAGTAGTAGTAGTAGGTGGACATTGGGCCTCCTCATGCACAGTCCCTTAGTATAAGAGCTCCTTGCTCAACTAAACGGTCATTCCAGGATACCCACCTTCCCGACATGATTGCTGAAGACAAACATGTGTATAAGCAAATGTGGTGAAGAAAGCTGATGGTGCCCGGCTATCAATAGATATAGTGTGTGGGGTCTTAAAAGCTTGAAGGTGAACAAGCGGCCATCTAGCTCCGAAGCAACAAAGCTGACAGGGAAGAAGCACACAAGCCTGTATGAACACGAGCTGATGAGGGATCAGGTAGCAGCCACCAAAGAACAAAAACCATCACTGTGTGATCACCTTCCCCACATAAACGCTGAAGATGAATGTGTGCATAAGTAAGTATAGGGAGGAAGGCTGATGGTGCCCGGCTATAGAGAGATATAGTGTCTGGGGTCTTAAGGGCTTGAAAATAAACAAGTGGCCATCTATCCCAGAATCGACAAAGTCCACATGGAAGCACACCAGCATGTGTGATCATGAAGGGTCGAGGGGACCAGGTATCAAGCACCAAAGGGGGTGGGGGCATCATATCATTGTGAATGAGGGGAGCGCGTGATGGGGACCCAATGCCCATCTGTAGACAACTGGACATCCCTTGCAGAGGGGTAGTGGGGAGGAGATGAGTCATTCAGGGTGCAGTGTAGCATTAATGAAATTCACAACCTTCCTCTAGTTCTTAAACACTTCCTCCCCCCCACTATCATGATCCCAATTATACCTTGCAATCCTAGTTAGACCAGAGGATGCACAGCAGTGCAGATGGGAACTGGAAACACAGGGAATCCAGGACAGATGAACCCCTCAGGACCAGTGGTGAGAGTGGCAATACCGGGAGGGAAGAGGGAGTAGAGAGCGGGGAATCGATTACAAGGATCTACATATAACCTCCTCCCTGGGGGATGGGCAACAGAAAAGTGGGTAAAGAGAGACACCGGGCAGTGTAAGATATGATAAAATAATGATTTATAAATTATCAAGGGTTCATGAGGGAGGGGGGAGTGGAGAAAGAGGGAGAAAATGAGGAGCTGATTCCAGGAGCCCAAGCAGAAAGCAAGATTGTGTGCTTTACACAATTGATGTGTGTGTGGATTGTGTAAGAGTTGTATGAGCCCCAATAAAATGATTTTTTAAAAAAGAGTTGCTCTCTTCTAAGATGTCTATATAGTCTTAGCTCTTATGTGTAAGTCTGGGTTCCACTAATTGAGTTAACTTTTGATACAGAAGGAGGGAATGGACTTCCAGTTTCATTTTTCACACTTGGAAATCCAACTATCCCATCACGATAGGTTGAGAAGACAGTTCTTTCCACACTTAATTACACCAAGAGTTTTTATTTCATTCATTTTATTTATAGAAACTTACTATAATAATAAAGACACTATAATTAATCATAGCACAGACCTTGTACAGCATAAACTAGACTAGGTAGATTATCTTTTCTAAACTGCTGTAGTGTTAGGTCACTGTCGTTGTGTATTTATTTTGAATTTGATGTCACCTCCTCAGAGTTTTCGGTTGGCTCCCCATCTAAAGTAATGCTCAGGCACTCTGTATCACATCACCGGCTGGGTTGAATCTTCCCCCACAATGTTGCTTTGCACCGGTTTCTCTCACTTGCCAGAACCAATATCTTGCCTCTCTAGCCAGATCACACGCTCCTTAGGAATAGGCACCGTGTCGTTTTATGCACTTCTTGTCCTCCCGTGCGCACTGGGAAGTGGCAGTTCCCACATGTAGCACACACACCAAAGCCATTGCCATCAAATCACTCCTGACTCCCCGTCTAGTCGTGACACATGGGGCTCCTCGCCTCCAGGTCAATGATTTAAGCTTTCTTTTTGAAGCCAGGCATCTGAAAGTGTCTCGCATCTGGAATGTCCAGTACCTGTTTAAGGAGGTCAAGGCAGCAAGGATAAGATTGTCCTATTTCTGCACTATTTAAAAATACTTTAAAAAGTAAGCAAAGGATTATTATAATAATAATTTGCCATTATATAGTTATGCTTAATTTTCCTACCCTTCACTTTTAACAAATTAGTAACACAGCTTGCACTGTTCATGCTCACCGGGCTCCTTCAAACCAATTGACTTGGCCATAAAAGTATCCTGCAGTGTTTCAGATTGGGCAAGGATTGACAGGGATAGGAAGCGGAAGGAGCTCAATGTCAGTGAGTAAATGGGCGTGGTATTTTGACCTGACCAAGAGAGAAACTCGAAGGAGTAAGTGTGTGTAGGGCGAAGATAAAAATTGGAGGAGGAGCTGGAAAAATTGTTAAAGAAACAAATGTTACCTCATCAACATTGAACGAATGGAGGGCATCTGTATAGAAATGCGTCAGACCTGGCGTTTGTATCAGGAGTTGCATGGGACAAGTAGTAAGGGTCCCTCAGAAAAGAAATAAGAAAACGATCAGGAAACATAACTGGAAGTGCTGCACTGGTATAAATTGAATAATAAAATTCGTAGTCATATTTTGCCATAAATAGAGGTTTGGGAATTTGTCATTCACCTTATTTAAAATTCAGAAATATTAAAGGTATGGGGTTCTCTCATTACAGAAATAATAGAATTCCCGCTATTATGGAGTTAGGGTCATTTTAATGGCTATTGCATGCATTATATCATTAAATAGATCATCTGACTGAAATGTCCACCTGATGGTCTACCACCCCCACTCCTCACACATTCTGGTGAACCCCACTTAATCATTGTAAGACTTCTTCTAATGAAGCCTTATCTGGATTAACATTTTAAGCACAAATACTTTCAGGCATTAAAACTCTCACACTAAATGAAATTGCATTGTCTTGTTTACCCTTGTTGATTAATAAGCAATCTGTTAACTGTTAGAACAGTCCAATTGTGGCTGTAGAAAGAGATTAGTAATTCAGTGATGTTTGTGGATATAATCATCATTCCTGTTGAAGGCTTTGAATTGGAATATCACTTATACAATATCCGTAGGCAAAGAAAGGATATAATATTTTTAGACATGTGTACCCACTATTTTGCTCAAGTCATTCAGCTTAGGGTCACTGCAGCATTACAAATGCTTCTGGGGGCAAAATGCTATTTTGATGCATGAATATCTGTCTTAAATAGGGCGACTGCCTATTAAAAGCCACACAGCAACCAACAAATTGTGCAGTGATAATCCAGAATCTTAATTTCTGTTTTCAGAACATTATTGTTTTGTTAATCAAGCTTTGGAGAGAAATATTGCTCATGTCCTTCCACCTCCTCTCCCCCGCCCCAACACCCACCGCATTACCCCACATATAAAATTCTTTGCAATCTTAGGCAACTTAGTCCCTGCCAGTAGAAAATTAAACTTTTTGGTTCCAAAAAACCCCAAACAACTGTTATCGAGTCTTTGCTGATTCACAGCTACCCTGTGAGTTTCTGAGACTGTAACTGTTTACAGGAATTGAAAACCCGGTCTTTCTTCCATGGAGCTGCTGGTGGTTTTGAACTGCTGGCTGTATGGATCGCAGCCCAACTTTTAACCAGTACACCACCAGGGATCCAGAATATAGACAGAATTTGGGGGGGGGGGGGACAAAAACCTCCATTTCTTTTGGGGAGATTTTCTTGATAGTTGTGTTTTCCTGTGGCCTTGAACCAGGGTCTATTTGCTTCGTATTCACATGCCCTGAATGATTGAGTTCGTTTGATTAGACATTATTATTACCATATTGTCAAGGAAGGGCCCTACAATCCAGGGGAGAGACCATTGGAAAAGGATGGAGGAATGGGATGCAAGTAGGTTCGGTAGCATTAGTTGGGTATCTGTGTATAAGAGGCTAATCTAGATGAGACCCCCAGTGTCTTTTACTTGTCTGTTTCCTGGTCCTTCAGTTTATAATGATGTTGGAAGCTAGTTCTTCTCTTAGGGAACCGTGCCCTGGACACACGAGTCTGCCCTGCTCTATCTTGCAGACCCTCTGCTGTGAAATCAAGCAGCGACGTCGAGGAGTGGCCTCCATTCTGCGCTTGTGCCAGCATCTTCTGGATGACCGGGAGACGTGCAATGTGAGCGCAGACCACCAGCCCATGCAGCTAATCATTGTCAATCTTGAAAGGAGGTGGGAAGCCATTGTAATGCAAGCCGTCCAGTGGCAGACTCGGCTACAAAAGAAGTTGGGGAAGGAGTCGGTGAGTGATTTTTATTTTTTAAGCATTATGACTTTCATTTTTCCCAGAAAGAAAAAATATGTATATTTTGCAGGGCTTGGTTTCACTGACTGAAAGGGGTAACTCCTAGGTGACATTCTGTTATAACACAGAAACCGATTTGCCTTACTAATACATTTTAGTGTCTCCCACTGTCTTTTTAAAAAACACGGAGATTTTGCTCAACCTTACCAAATGATACCATTAATTCTTTCGATCATGCCTTCACCAACTATATTCATTAATCATACAATCGCCCATGAATATTTTGCTAGAAGGTGACTTACTGCTCTCAGAGCATATGGAGCTATGTGTATGTGCTGCAGACACAGCAATCAAGTCAAGCATACTGAAGACTTTCTATTACATGATAAGACTTACCACCATCCAGTTGTAACCAGTTCTCGTCGGGAGCTCTTTGGGGCACTATTGCTTTGCCCGACACGGCGACTTTCCTCTTAGAGTTCTAAGGCAATACCGGGTGGGGAGGGGCTGGAGGATGATCCTCTTACAGGATTTTTCAAATAGATTGTAAGTTGTAACTGTTGCTAGATGAAGGAGACGCATGTGTCTAGAAAACTATCTTGTTACAGTATAGAACACACGCTTGTCCCATGAATGCCTTTCCCTTCTTAATGGAAAGAATTTCTTGATAAGGTCACATTCCCCAAATTAACCTTGAACTCTGTATATGTTCATCAGAAGGCCAACTCTCATGTTTTACTTGCATAAATGAAATATATAGTAGATGTATTATATATATATATAGATAGATAGATAGATAGATATAGATATATACCTTAGAAGTGTGCCTTGTTTTATTTCAAATAAATATTTACATAGTTCTATGTTTTCAAGATTGAAAAACCAATCTAAGAATCCGGCCACTAGAAAAACAGGCTCCTCTTATGAATCCTCATTTTAACCAAACCCTGGTTTTTGCTGTCTGGTGGGTTTGCCATTGGGGACTGGCAACAGAGGGACAATACTATTTGTATGCTTTCTTGCTTTTTTTTTTTTTTAATCTGTAACTATATTGAGTTTAGGGGCTGATTTTATCCTCATCAGTTCTGTTTAATTGTTTTGAGCTGAAGTTGTTAAATTTCTGAAGACTTCCAAATTATTACCAGTAATCAGAGTCTATATAATTGGATGTCTCTTCTTAAAATGAGCCGTGGTGAATCTCTTTAATTGGAATGGTTCTTCTCTCTCTCTCTCTCTCACTCTCTCTGTCTGTCTGTCTCTCTCTCTCTCTGAGAGTGTTTGGGAGAGTCTCTCTGCAGAGTGAAACCTCTCAATGTGGTAGTGGCCATAGCAAGACTTACACAGAAGCCAACCGTAGCTAGAGAAGTTCGGCCACTTAGAAGGCATTGAAGCTGTTTTGCAGGCGACAGAACTAGGTTCCTAGAGGGATGTGTTTGAAGTCAGCTAATCAGAGTCCTAGCCTAGATCTCCTTAGACTACATGCAGACCTGTTTATCCTTCTTCTGCAAGAGAGGCAGCTTTATCTCTGAGAAACCCCAATGCTTCTTACTCGTACTACAGCAGAAAGGCAGCTATAATCGGCAGTTAGGGAAAAGTCTCATTCGTCTCTGGATTGGCTGCTGAGTGTGTAGGTTGTTTGCAATAATTAATGTATCAGATAAAGTCCACTGGGCCAAAATATGGTAAAAAACCACTGTCAGGGAAAGAATGAAAGAGTAGAGAATAGCAATAATATGAACAATTCAACGCGCACAGGAGGTAGCAGTTGGAGATGTTCCTCTGCTTCCGCTGTTGGCTCGTTGGGTAGAGTCCAACTTGTTGGGACAGACAGACTGCTGTTTTCCAACGTGAGAGGCTGCCTTGCAGAACATTGGAAGCCTCTCTGGGAGCTGGTGAGTTCCCACCCAAATCTCACCCCTGCTCATGTGCAGGGGTTGTTTTATTCACCAGTAGACCCTTCCGGCCGGGACAAAACATAGCACACAAAGTAAGTGTTTGATTAAATTTGCATGCTCTCATTTCATAAACTCTGTTTCATTTTAACAGTTGGTTTGGAGTAAATCCAAAAATTAAAAACAAATCTGCTATCATGTAGATTGCGTGTGTGGGGGGGGGATGTGTGATTGGAGTTACTATATATTAATTCTAAATTTGTATAGCCTAACAAAGTGTCTGAGTAGCATGTGTTTCTGTAGGACTATTTTGCCTTCAGAAGACCACCAAAAAGATGCCCTTTAACCTTTCCTTTTGTTCCACAAGGAACAAGGACGTTGTTTCCAAATCCTTATTTTCAAGACTCCTCTCTGAAGGAAATTCTGTATGCCATCTTGGATTGAGTCTTTCTGACAATGAGGGCGAGGTTTTCCCATTTAGAATCAAAGGCAGTGATGCCAGCGCTATACGTTCGTTTTCTTCAGTGGTCATTTTGGGACTGTTTTTGCAGAACGTATCGCCAGCCCTCCCACCAGGGTTCCTCATTGCTGTTGACACCGGTGAAGCCAGGCTCTGCTCACCGTTGCATTCCCGGGCTCTTTATGATATAGCGGGGACTCTCCAGGTTCTCCCGACGATTTCTGTTGTTGTTGTTGTTGTTAGGTATTCCTTTTCATTCAATACACGGTCAATGCCCATGGGAGCAGCAGTCAGGAACTCAAGTTACACATTACATTGGGGAAATCTGCTGTGATGGGCTCTTTAAATTGCTGCAAAGCAAAGATGTCATTCTGAGGACTAAGGTGTACCTGGCCAGGCCATGGTGTTTCCAGTTACCTCATATGCTTGTAAACGCTGGACAAGGAATAGGCAATGCTGAAGAATAATTGGTGCATCTGAACCATAGTGCCGGCAAAGAATAGTAAATATACCGCCGGCTGTCAATGAATGCGTGCATCTGTATTAGAGGAAGTCGATTCTCATACGATTTCCAAATGCGAGAATCAGTGATGCTCTGTGGTCATCGCGATTAGAGATTCGTGGTTGAATATTCTTCTCCTCTAAAAGAATAATTCAAAAGACAAGATAAATCTAAAAGAACTATAATCTTTGTTGTTTGGGGGGTAAATATCATCTGTCCTCTTCTGACTTCACAAGGGGAAAGGAGAATTAAACTCAACCTCATCCCAGGACCGATTCTTATGAGGTAGAGGTCAGACACGTCTCCATCCTCTAACCTCCTTAACCAACCATCCTTCCCAGGGAACTCTGCTTCGTTTGAAAATTCGCTGCAACGATCTCAGAAAATGCTTATGATTAGGGCAGTTAACCGGCTACAGTTCATGAGTAGAAAATGTGTAGGACACATCTCTTTAGTCAGAACCGCCTTTTGCTAGCCGTGCCCACAAGCACACCTCTCTCTGCTCCTCAGGCAATGTTGCAAAACTCCTTTAGTGCTGACAATACATCAATCCACCGTAACTGTCAGCCCAAAGTGCTCAGCTCTAGCTCCAACTCAGCAAAGCGGGCTCCTCCAGGAAGACCCTGGAGAAATCTTACTCTGCAAGCAAGCCGCCTGCTGGACAGCACTCGGCTTCCTTCACTCCGGGAGCTGAGGAGCCCCTGTTCTGTGTCATGGTGTTGGTGCTGCTGAAGCTTCAGTCACACGGATGGGGAAGGCTCAGCCTCCCAGGATCCCTGCGCTCAGAGGATGGACTCCACTCCTGCTTTGCTTTTTTGATGGTTGTGAGAGCCCTCTTTCTTTCTTTTTTTTAAAATTGTTTTATTAGGGGCTCATACCACTCTTATCACAATCCATACACACATCAATTGTGTAAAGCGCATTTGTACATTCATTGCCCTCATCATTCTCAAAACATTTGCTCTCCACTTAAGCCCCCGGCATTAGGCCCTTATTTTTCCCCTCCCTCATGAGCCCTTGATTATTTATAAATTATTATTTTGTCATATCTTGCCCCGTCTGACGTCTCCCTTCACCCACTTTTCAGTTGTCTGTCCCCCAGGGAGGAGGTCACATATACTTCCTTGTAATCGGTTCCCTCTTTCCAACCCACTCTCCCTCTACCCTCCCAGTATCGCCACTCACACCACTGGTCCTGAAGGGATCATCCGCCCTGGATTCCTTGTGTTTCCAGTTCCTATCTATACCAGTGTACATCCTCTGTTCTAGCCAGACTTGCAAGGTGGAATTCGGATCATGATAGTGGCAGGGGCGGGATAGGGGAAGCATTTAGGAACAAGAGGAAAGTTGTATTTTTTCATCGTTGCTACATCGCACCCTGTCTAGCTCGTCTCCTCCCTGAGACCCCTCTGCAAGGGGATCTCCAGTGGAGAGCCCTCTTTCTTGCTCCTGAGTTGACTCAAGGACAAAACTGGCCAAGCCCCTGATGATATGTCCAAGTTTTGCCGATCATAGTTAGCTCTGTTAGCAATCACTCATAACTAACTCACATGTTCCTGTCAGCTCTGTCCCCCATCTTCTTTTACACACGGTTAAGTCTTCAGTGAATCCCCTCTGACTATAGTCAAGGGATGTGAATAGCCTTGCTGTCATACAGAGAGGATTGTAAAATTGATTATGGTAGATGTAGTTCAGTTAAACTGTGATACCCCATCCTTTGATATCCTTTTGACCCATGCTCATGTTGTTTCAGTTGTTAATAGTTTCTGCTTTCTCTCTGACTAAGGTTTTCTATGTTTTGTCTAGTCATTATTGATATTTTTTGTTGGCTTGTTTGTTTGTTTACTTTGTGTGATTTTGTCCATTTTGTTTTGTATTGTTTTCTGTATAAAATCCAAGCTGGGTAGATCTTTGAGCTGATAACTGGATAGGGCCTGGCAGGGGAGGAGGGGAAAATGGGGAGCTGACAACAGAGAGTGTGAGATGGAAACGTTCTGAAGTTAATCGTGGTGATTCTTGCACAGATCATCTTCAGTGCTGGAGTAATTGTTGCATAATATGTGCAGTATAGCTAATAAAATTAATTTTAAAAAGAAAAGGAGGAAATACACCCAAACTGCATGGTCCTGCTCCGTTGTTTGGT